GCAGCAGATCCTGTGAAGGAATTGCTTTATACGTGTTTGCTGTTTTATCTTTGGTNTAAGTACAATACGGGTATAATAGTAATGAAGAAAATGAGAAGAAATAAGGTCCTGCAGGCTGCAGCAGATCCTGTGAAGGAATTGCTTTATACGTGTTTGCTGTTTTATCTTTGGTATTAACAAAACATGGTCCATCAATTCTGCAAGCAACACACATATAAGGTGCGACGCACAACAAGTACTACTACCTAACCACCAAACCAAACCAGAGATTTTTCCCTAGGAAATGGACACAGCCTCAGACTGAACCAAACTGGAGAATTTGCACACCCTTCAAACATCTGTCCTTGTATTGGACTGCAGATAACACAGAAGTTAATACCAAGGAGAACACCAGTATTACAACTGAACTAACTGGAAAAAAAATTATAATCATACTAATTATAATAGAAAAAAACAACCAATAGGAGGAGAATAAATAAAGCATCCGCAGCAGAATCGGTTAAAGATTACCATCCATGTATTTGCCTTTGTCTTTCCTTTCCCCTAGCCATGGTCCACCAATTCTGCAAAGAACAGACTTAAGTACTATAAATTCTGCAAGGAACAAACATAAGGTGTTATTCATGATACACAACGAGAACTACAACCAAACAACAAGGGAAAAAAAAAACCACACCAGAGAAATCTCTTACCATATACCAAACCAGAGAAATCTCTTACTATGGATGGACACAGTCTCGGCATAACCAAACCACAATATTTGCACACCTTATACTCGGGGATTTGGACTGCTCACGACAAGAAGAAGGACAACAGGAAAAAAAAAAAGACAGAAGAAAGCAACAGACCATATATAAGGAAAGACCAACAAAATCCCATTGATTGTTTATGAATCACTGTAAGTGGATTCCCCCTATCATTTATCTAAAATCAAATAATACACATGAACTAGATAAACACCATAGAATTACCAAGAATAAAGACGCCAAAATTGATCACCTGGAATCATGAACCATAAACCAAAAATTAGACAACAAAAACTCCAAAAAATCCCGATCATCTGCCTTGAATAGCAGCGTAACACAAGATTGAACAGAAAATCCAATACGTTAAGAAGAAAATAAGTTGAGTCTAAATAAATAAAATTCAAAGATCAATCAACCTAGCAAGTGATTCTGTGACGCATAATATCATGTAAGTTACCTTATCGTACCCTAATTTACAACATTCATCATCCAATGCTTAATTCCTACCATAAAACCAGCCACGATTCAAAATTGAAATCACCCAAAAAGAAAGAGAACTAAAAGAAAAAAAAGAAAAGACTTTGACACAAATGGCAAACCACTTCATATCTTTTTATTTGTGGTGGTAGCAGAATTTGGAAGAGGAAAAGTCCACTAAACTGGACAACAGCACAGAAAAGAAAGAGAACTAAAAGAAAAAAAAAAAAAGACTTTGACACAAATGGCAAACCACTTCATATCTTTTTATTTGTGGTGGTAGCAGAATTTGGAAGAGGAAAAGTCCACTAAACTGGACAACAGCACAGAAAAGAAAGAGAACTAAAAGAAAAAAAAATAAAAGACTTTGACACAAATGGCAAACCACTTCATATCTTTTTATTTGTGGTGGTAGCAGATTTTGGAAGAGGAAAAGTCCACTAAACTGGACAACAGCACAGAAAAGAAAGAGAACTAAAAGAAAAAAAAATAAAAGACTTTGACACAAATGGCAAACCACTTCATATCTTTTTATTTGTGGTGGTAGCAGATTTTGGAAGAGGAAAAGTCCACTAAACTGGACAACAGCACAGAAATAAGAAAACAACATGGGATCTAAAAAGACAGAAGCAAGAACCATTGCACCTTCAGTCTGAAGAAAGGAAGACAAGAAGGTGAAAAAACAATGAGGCTACTCATTATTAAAAAGCATCTTCATTCCCATGACACAGCCCAAGTATATAAATGAACCAACTGTGGGTGCCCCGGTGTAGTCTTGCATTCATTCAACCGTACTATAACCATTTCCACTAAAAACAGCACACCATGCCGAAATAAGAGATGGGAACAGCAACCGAAAAAGGAAGCACAGCAAAACATTAGAACATAGTGGATGCAATCTATAGCAGCTGCACCACAAACATAGCCTTCCCCCAACTTCCTTACAACNTGAAAAAGGAAGGACAGCAAAACATTAGAACATAGTAGATGCAATCTATAGCAGCTGCACCACAAACATAGCCTTCCCCCAACTTCCTTACAACAGGAAATGGAACAGATGCAACATCGCACACATTGGTGTAACATGAGATCACACCTGAATCAAGGGTATGATAAATATTATGACACTTTTGGTACACAAACATCAATAGAGAACTACTCCTAAAAAATCATATACATAACAGCGAAATCAAACCAATCACTGATGCCACGAACACCTGATACATTCCTATGAAAAACAACAGCACCTAAATCACTAAATGTCATAACACCATAGGTACACTACATAAATTAATTTTGAAATAAATTCCTAAAAAAACCGATAATAGCAAAAGCGGTGCTGCAAACCAATCATGAGAACACAATCCAAACAGTTCTCTGTCCATTACAGCATTAAATTGTAATGCGCTGCAAACAACCAAAAATAGAGGAGCAATACCAGCATCATGCCATAGAAAAAGGAAGTAAGATGTAGGAAATATATTGTTACAAAAAAGGAACCACTTTTGCTCATAAGTTGTGCAATTGATACTTTGGTGGGAGGTGATGGAGGTTGGAAACCAAAGGACCTAAGACAACCAACAAGATAGTATAGCGCAATTTTTAAAAAAGGAAAAACAAGACATGTTGACAGATCTTAAATACGTAACCGTATCTGGCACGGGTGCAACAACATTGTCTTGCATTTGTCCTGCTTTGCAATTACAATAACGGCATCCCCTAGAAAACAATTCACCAGGCCCAAATCATGATCAGGATCAGCTACCAAAATTGACAGACAAGAAAAGTCTGGTTAGCAAAACAGAGAAAGACAGGAAAAGTGGTTACACATGAGGGTTGAATCTACATCAGCTACTCCAAAAGCATACCTTGCTGTAAAGAAAATGGTAGACAAAACAACAGTCCATACAATCTTTACAATAGACTTCAAGTAACAAATCCCGACGAAGGACAATGGGTATCTTGCAGAGAACAATGGGGAGTCAGAAGAGGGGTCCACTGACCCAAAGAAAAAACATGCAATGTATTACATGTTTTCAGCCTTGCAATAACCTCCACGGTGAAATCAAGGATTGGGAAGCAATAGCTAACAGATTAGCATGGAAAATGCAGGCTCAATCTGTAGCAACCGCTCCAAAAGCATTTTCTTCCCCAACATTCCCACAATAGCANATCCACTGACCCAAAGAAAAAACATGCAATGTATTACATGTTTTCAGCCTTGCAATAACCTCCACGGAAAAATCAAGGATTGGGAAGCAATAGCTAACAGATTAGCATGGAAAATGCAGGTTCAATCTGTAGCAACCGCTCCAAAAGCATTTTCTTCCCCAACATTCCCACAATAGCAAAGGCAACACAGAACCCACACCAGTTCATTTAATCTCCACAGTAGAATTGAAGCTACAAAGCTGAACAAAATCCCCATGACAGAAACAGAAAGATTTTGATATTTCCGATCTAAGTACCAAAAGTAACCATGCCTAAATGGAAACCACCTGCCCGATTTCACCACAATACGATAACACCTGAACCGCAGGTATAAAAAATATGTGCAATAGGTTANGAAGCTGAACAAAATCCCCATGACAGAAACAGAAAGATTTTGATATTTCCGATCTAAGTACCAAAAGTAACCATGCCAAAATGGAAACCACCTGCCCGATTTCACCACAATACGATAACACCTGAACCGCAGGTATAAAAAATATGTGCAATAGGTTAAATGATAACACCTGATCCATAGGTATAAAAAATATGTACAATAGGTTGAATAGCCATTTATCAATACCAAAAATGGTTTAAGCAATCGCGGACTCCAAGATCCAAAGGATTAGCTCAATCCAATTGCAGTGCTCTGCAGAAAATCAGAACAGAGAACAGCCACAACACCACCATGGTAAAGAAAAGAAGGAAATAGAAAAAACCATGTCAGTAAGGGTGAAACTTTATTTCTTTCAGTCTTCTTTATGTTGTGGACAGAGGGAGAGGAAATAAAAACCGACAAAAACAAGAAAGTCAAAAATATAATCTAAGAAAACACAAAACTAAGAGAGTACCATTCCCAAGACAAAGCCCAAGTACATAGCTGGACCTACCACATGTGCACCAACATTCCCTTGCATTTGTTCTGCCTCGCACCAACTAGATCACTTATAGTCCAACACACAACACAAAAATTAAGCACCAGCGAAAGATAGCCAAGAGACCAATAAATAGGAAAAGACAGGGTCTGGTAAAAGAGAAAGGCAAAGGCCAGAAAAGCAGACGTGTGCACCAGTTGAATCTGCAGCAGCTACTCCAAAAGCATAGCCTTCCCCCTACATTCCTACAATAAGAATGGGAACAGACACACTCCTGTAACAATGCTGAACAGAATGCCCAACCAAAAAAGGAAGATTTTGAATTCTTCCACTCCAAGTACCAAGAACTAAAAGGGAACACCTGACCTATTCTGCTGCAACAAAATCACACCAGAACCACACCTACAATATAGAAATATGATGCTTCTGGTACATTAAATAGAATGAATGCAGAAATAAATCCTCAAAAATCATATTCATAATTGCAAAAGTGAACAATAAACCCAATAATATGAAGATTCCCTAACACATTTATCAATAACTCAACCTAACTGTAGAACCTCAAGCTGCAAACAACCAAAATAGAGAACAGCCACACCACACTATACAACGGAAAAAGAATGATGAGAACAAGGTATTTGGAGCACGACAGGAAGTCGCAAGGGGAATAAACACCTAAATTGGCTCCCCGTGCCTATTCTTTGCTTTTCTGGTATAAATAGGTAGGGACGGCAGCAAGGGGATCCCTGTAGAACAACAAAAATAAATATCCATATAAATTCATTGCCATAAACTAAGCTGTACTAGAAAAAGGAACAAAATACCAAAAAGCTCGCAGCAAAAAACTTTCAAGTCCTCTTCTAGGACGGGGAACACCAACTAGATTTAATAGTAAGAATAAAGATGCCTCAAACCAGGGATGTTATCAAATCACGAAAATAACAATGTCGAAGAGCACACCATACCTCAAGAACTTCAATTCTAACGTTTTAGTATCTCGCGAGAAGGTGAAAAAACCAGCAGCAGTCAAGGAGGATTATAACAGTGTAGCATGTCTAATTTCCAGAAGCAGCATCACAACATTTAACAATCTATAGCAGGATCACAAGTCTCAACACTGTATAACAGACTGACTCTCCTTGCAGCCGAATTCATGAAAAAGATCAATGTGCCAAAATAACCTGAATTTGCTAGAAGCAACTGTGAAAGCTCGTCTGTACAGTAAGGCAACCAATCCAAACTAACATGAACACCAAAAGCAACCAAGCGGGGTTCCCAAAAATGCCATACACAAAGCTCAATGCTGGTAATCAATGAAAATGACCGAAACAAGCAAACCTTAGACCAAGAATGTAATCAAATCACCAAAAAAACAATGAAGAAGAGAACACCATACCAGCAGGAACTTCACTTGCTGGAGAATTAGTATCTAGCAAGAAACTTAAAACAAAAAAAACCAAGGAAAATAAGTTTTTGTTGCCGGATTCAGTTCATTCTCAAGAAAGGGAGACAAGAAGAAAGTGAAAAGCATCTTCGATCCTCCAAAAATCACATCCTCCACTGCACAACACCAACCTATGAAAACCAACAAGATACCACCTGAATCATGAGTATTTGAGAGAATAGCCACTTCTCACACACTAAATAAAGTGAATTACCAAAAAAAACAATGAAGAGAACACCATACCAGCAAGGACTTCCCTTGCTAGACTATTTGTATCTCTCAAGAAAGTTTGAAAAAAAAACCTAGACAAATAATTTTTTGTTGGAGGATTCAGTTCATTCTGAAGATAGGGAGACAAGAAAGTGAAAAAACAATAAGTCTATTCATGATTAGAAGCATCTCCAGTCCTCCAAAAATCCCAGAGTTAATGGTATGGATCCGACCTAAAAAAAACCAGAAAGATGCCAGCTGAACAATGAGTGTCGGAGAGAATAGGCCATTCTTCTTGTACACCGAATAAAGTTGATTACCATACAAAAACGAAGAGGAGAACACCATCCTAGCAGAAACTTCACCTGCTAAAATATTCTGTATCTCACAAGAAAGTTAAATAAAAAAACCCAGAAAAACAATTTTTGTTGGAGGATTCAATTCAGTCTGATTAGAAGCATCTTTGGTCCTCCAAAAATCCCAGCATCAATTGAATGGATCCAACCTTAGAAAACCAACAAGATTCCACCAGAACCATGAGTATCTAAGAATAGGCTACTTCTCATGTTAAAGTTGTCATACAGATATATCATATTCTTAGTGGCAAAGACAAACGAACTCCTGACTCAACGGTACAGAAGATGTGCGGGCTCGATCCTGCACGATGTATAAAATATTGGGAACAGATCTCTCCCCTGGTGAACTTTGGGTGAGCCGATTGAGTGGCCAAGCACGCTGCTCGAAACAGCTTACGATCCTGGGAAAGGAGGAACGATCCTGTATGTGCGAAAGGTATTTCCTGGGACAAAAGAGAACAAGTTAGAAGNAGAAAAAGGAAAATCATTGTGACAAATGGCAAACCTCTTCCTACCTTTATTTGTTGTGGTAGCAGATTTTGGAAGAGGAAGAATCCACTAAACTGGACAACAGCACGAACAAAAGAAAACAACATGGGATTTACAAAAACAAAAGCAAGAACCATTGTACCATTCCCACGACAAAAGCATATAACTGAACCAGTTGTGGGTGCCCCGGTGTAGTCTTGCATTCATTCAGCCATACTATAAGCATATCCCCTACAAAACAGCACAACATGCGGAAATAAGAAATGGGAAACAGCAGCTAAAAAGGAAGGGCAGCAAAAATCAAAACATACCACATGGAATCTATAGCAGCTGCAACAAAAACATAGCCTTTCCCCAGCTTCATTACAACAGGAGATGGAACAGATGCAACATTATTTTACACAATAATTGAATGTTCTGACTTCTGATTCACAACACTAAGTAAGCATATCTAAATGGGAACATCCTGACACATTCCTGTGACATGAGATCACACCTGAATCAAGGGTATGAGAGAAGATATTATGACACTTTCAGTACACGAACATCAATAGAGAAATACTAAAAAACAAAAAAAATTCATATAACAGCACAATCAAACCCATCACCTGATACATTCCTATGAAACTGACAACACCTATATCACTATATGTCATAACACCATAGGTACACTAGATAAATCAATCCAATACCAGCATCATGCCAAAAAAAAAAGGAAGTAAGAANAAAAAAAAATCATATAACAGCACAATCAAACCCATCACCCAAGGATCAAAATTTCGTTTCGAAGTACCGTTTCGGTCAACTCAAAAATAGAAACGTTTCGGAAACATTTCGGAAACGCAATGGAAACGCAGAAAAAATATGGAAACGCATAGAAACACAAATGCAATCCATTAATTTATAAAGATATGCTAAATAATTTATTAATTCAACATATTTATTAGGTTAACATCAATTTATACAAGAATAAATTTAAATTTGAGGGAAAAAAAGGCTTGACTTGAGGCGAAAGTCACTTAAATTAGTTTCAAACACTTAATTTTTATGAAATAAACACATTTTTACATAATATTAANAGCAGCTAAAAAGGAAGGGCAGCAAAAATCAAAACATACCACATGGAATCTATAGCAGCTGCAACAAAAACATAGCCTTTCCCCAGCTTCATTACAACAGGAGATGGAACAGATGCAACATTATTTTACACAATAATTGAATGTTCTGACTTCTGATTCACAACACTAAGTAAAGCATATCTAAATGGGAACATCCTGACACATTCCTGTGACATGAGATCACACCTGAATCAAGGGTATGAGAGAAGATATTATGACACTTTCAGTACACGAACATCAATAGAGAAATACTAAAAAACAAAAAAAATTCATATAACAGCACAATCAAACCCATCACCTGATACATTCCTATGAAAGTGACAACACCTATATCACTATATGTCATAACACCATAGGTACACTAGATAAATCAATCCAATACCAGCATCATGCCAAAAAAAAAAGGAAGTAAGAAGTAGGAAAAAATATTGCCACAAAAAGGAACCACTTCCGCTCATGTCATGGCGGTTGGAAACCAAAGGACCTAAAGACAACCAACAAGAAAGTCTAGCGCAATTAAAAAAAAGGAAGAACAAGACATGCAACAGATCCAAAGTACAAAACTGTATCTGGCATGGGTGCACCAATAGTCTTGCATTTGTCTGGTTTTGCGTTTACAATAACAAGATCCACTAGAAAATAATTCACCACACAAAAATCAAGAACAGGATCAGCTGGCAAAATTGACAGACCGGAAAATTCTGGTTAGCAAAACAGGGGAAGACAGGAAAAGTGGTCATATTTGAAGGTTGAATCTACATGAGCTACTTCAAAAGCATATCTTGCTATACAGAAAAGGGTAGACACAACAACAGTCCATACGATCTTTATAGTAGACTTCAAGCAACAAGACAAAATCCCCATTGACCACAAAGCAAAGATAGATGTATTCAATTTTATCAAAATTAGCCATAAATAAATAGAAAGACCTAACAGATTCCTCATCAATGGATCACACATGAATCATAGGAATAAGAACATCATCCGACACTTCTGGTACACCAAATAACTTGGGCAAAAAAATCATAAAAAAAATATTCATACTAGCAAAGCAAGCCAATCATCGACACCATGATCCAAACACATAATGTGATCCAGACGACACACTAAGAAAAAGGAATAAATATACACAAAAAAAACCAAGTAGGAAAGGGCAAACCTACTTACTGTTTATATGCTGTCGAAGGAGTATCTCGCAGGAGGACATCGGGGAGATGAAAGAGGGGATCCGCAGTTCTAAAGTAAAAGCATGCATTGTATTACATTTATACAGCCTTACAGTAACCTCCATGGAAAAATCAAGGATTGGGAAGTGGCAGGCTAACAAATTAGCATATAGGAAAATGCCAGTTCAATCTGCAGCAACCGCTCCAAAAGCATTCTCTTCCCCAACATTCCCACAATAGCAAAAGGCAACCGAACCCACAACAGTTCATATAATCTCTACAGTAGAATTCAAGCTACAAAGCTAAACAAAATCCCCCCGATAGAAAGATTTTCAGATTTTCAATCTAACTACCACGACTAGCCATACCTAAATGGAAACCACATTCTTCCGTAATAAGATAACAACTGAACCACAGGTATAANCACTAGAAAATAATTCACCACACAAAAATCAAGAACAGGATCAGCTGGCAAAATTTACAGACCGGAAAATTCTGGTTAGCAAAACAGGGGAAGACAGGAAAAGTGGTCATATTTGAAGAGGTTGAATCTTCATGAGCTACTTCAAAAGCATATCTTGCTATACAGAAAAGGGTAGACACAACAACAGTCCATACGATCTTTATAGTAGACTTCAAGCAACAAGACAAAATCCCCATTGACCACAAAGCAAAGATAGATGTATTCAATTTTATCAAAATTAGCCATAAATAAATAGAAAGACCTAACAGATTCCTCATCAATGGATCACACATGAATCATAGGAATAAGAACATCATCCGACACTTCTGGTACACCCAATAACTTGGGCAAAAAAATCATAAAAAAAATATTCATACTAGCAAAGCAAGCCAATCATCGACACCATGATCCAAACACATAATGTGATCCAGACGACACACTAAGAAAAAGGAATAAATATACACAAAAAAAACCAAGTAGGAAAGGGCAAACCTACTTACTGTTTATATGCTGTCGAAGGAGTATCTCGCAGGAGGACATCGGGGAGATGAAAGAGGGGATCCGCAGTTCTAAAGTAAAAGCATGCATTGTATTACATGTATACAGCCTTACAGTAACCTCCATGGAAAAATCAAGGATTGGGAAGTGGCAGGCTAACAAATTAGCATATAGGAAAATGCCAGTTCAATCTGCAGCAACCGCTCCAAAAGCATTCTCTTCCCCAACATTCCCACAATAGCAAAAGGCAACCGAACCCACAACAGTTCATATAATCTCTACGGTAGAATTCAAGCTACAAAGCTAAACAAAATCCCCCCGATAGAAAGATTTTCAGATTTTCAATCTAACTACCACGACTAGCCATGCCTAAATGGAAACCACATTCTTCCGTAATAAGATAACAACTGAACCACAGGTATAAAAAAAATGTGCAATAGGTTAAATAGAGTCATTTATTAATACCAAAAATGGTTTAATCCATCGTTGACCCCAAGACCCAAAGGATTAGCTCAATCCAATTGCAGTGCTCTGCAGAAAATCAGAATGGAGAACAGCCACAACATCACCATGGGAAAGAAAAGGAAATAGAAAAAACAAAACCAAAAATGTACCATTCCAAAGACGAAGCCAATTACACAGCTGGACCTACCACACGGGCACCAACATTCCCTTGCATTTGTTTAGCCTCACAACTACTAGATCACTTATAGTCCAACACACGACACAAAAATTAAGAACGGAGAAAGATAGCCAATAGACCAACATATAAGAAAAGACAGGGTCGAGTAAAGAGAGAGGCCAGAAAAGTGGACCTGTGCACCATCTGAATCTGCAGCATCTCCTTCAAAAGCATAGCCTTCCCACAACATTTCTATAATAAGGATGGGAGCAAACGCTCTCGTGCAACAACGCTGAACAGCATGCACAACCACAAATGAAAGATTTTGAAATCTTCCACTGCAAGTACCAAGAGTAACAAGAACTAAAAGGGAACACCTGAACTATTGAACAACACCTATGTACACTAAATCAAATGAATGCAGAAAATAAATCCTCAAAAATCATATTCAAAATAGCAAAAGTAAACCAACCCAACAATCCAAAGATTACAAACACATTTATCAATATAACTCGACCAAATNTCTGAATCTGCAGCATCTCCTTCAAAAGCATAGCCTTCCCACAACATTTCTATAATAAGGATGGGAGCAAACGCTCACTTGCAACAACGCTGAACAGCATGCACAACCACAAATGAAAGATTTTGAAATCTTCCACTGCAAGTACCAAGAGTAACAAGAACTAAAAGGGAACACCTGAACTATTGAACAACACCTATGTACACTAAATCAAATGAATGCAGAAAATAAATCCTCAAAAATCATATTCAAAATAGCAAAAGTAAACCAACCCAACAATCCAAAGATTACAAACACATTTATCAATATAACTCGACCAAATTGTATTACCTCAAGCTGCAAATAACCAAAATAGAGAGAAGCCACACCAACACTATGCAACCGAAAAAGAATGATATAGGCAGGGGAACAAAAACTACACTCTCAGCCAGAGCTCTGAGTCACTTCTCCTAATATGAGGTAGATTAAGTAGAATACCAAATACAAATAAATAATAAGGATATAATAGTAACAACGAAGAAGATGAGAAGAAATAAGGTCCTGCAGCAGAACCTGAGAAATAATTGCCATAAATGCATTTGCTGTTTTATCTTTGGTGTTAACCAGACATATCCATCAACTCTGAAAGCAACAAACATTCATGATGCACAACAAGAACTACTACCCAAACACCAAACCATCAGAGATTTTTTCTAAGGGAAATAGACACAGCCTCAGACATAACCAAACTGGAGAATTCGCACACCCTACGAACAACTATACTTGTACTCGCGTTTCGGACTGCAGACAAGAAAGGAGCTAATACCAAGGAGAAGAGTAGGCCCAACTAATTGAAAAATAATTATAGTCATACTAACTATAATAGAAAAAACAAAACAACCAAGAGGAGGAGAATAAATAAAGCACCCGCAGCAGAATACATTAAGGATTACCATCTATGTATTTGCCCTTTATCTTTCCTTTCCCCTGGCCATGGTCCACCAATTCTGCAAGGAACAGACTTCAGTACTATAAATTCTGCAAGTACAAAGCCAGTAGAAGGCTCCTAAAAACAAATTAAAGTAGCCAAAGATTACTCCTTCCAAACCCTCCTATCCATCATCTAATGCAAAGTGATTTCCTACAACTGGTCCTCCATTGCCTGCAAAAAAAAAACATAGCAAGATCCCAAAAACAATGATCCATGAAACAATTCCAAAGGGTTTATCATGGAGAAATAAAGTCAAATCCAAACAGCATGTAGCCCCCTAATCAAACCAAAACTTTTGACCATGCATCAAAACACCTGATTTCTGATTCCTTCAATTCCACTTTGGGCAACCAGTAGAAAAAATAAAACAAACAAAATCCCACTTGTTAAAATTCAGGATACTGAACTTAGATTACCAACTGAATAAGGCAGCCCACCCACAGCAGTTGGGTTGCAGTCTCCACACATTCAACATTTTGAAAGTGTTTCAGCTAAGGGTTTTTGGATGACAAAATCAGCTTTAAGTTTCATGGCAAAAATAAGTGTTGCGATTACAGACCGCCTTAATCTTCACCTGCTTGTGAAATCAGAAAACACCAAAAGGATGAGCAAATGGGATCAGCCTACAACCAGCGCTTTCCCCTAAAGCAAAACACAAAAAAGGTTCCCAAACACCCACGAAACAAGAGGAAGAGGGACTTTCCAAATACCACATTCTTTTGGCATCCACATTTCAATTACTCATTACAGTCCACAGTTGGTGCAAATGACAGAGACAACACCAGAAAGCTTGCACACAGACCACAAATTGCCAGGCACAACAGAGCAAAGTACAGTTAACATGCACAAAGAGAGTGCAGCAACAAGAACCACTTTTACAACCAAAACAGAACCAACAAGAATTTCCAACATCCACCAAATTCCACACAACAAAAAATTACACACAAATGTGCACTCGGGTGAAGAAGTTCATTAATCATGAGCAACAACTCTAGGCACGACGGAAAAGCAAGGAGCCTTCCGAAATAATTAAAATTTTGTTCTGTGAAGATGACAATAAAAACATAAAATTTCCTAAAAAGAGAGTCCAGTCCGGGCAGTAAGTCAGCACACCAACCAAAAAACCCAGACTGAACAATCCAAACTGAAACCAGTCAACCCACCCACCCAAAAACCAGAAGTCACCCTCTAAATGCCCACAAAAAAATCTCAATGCTGGAATAATCTATAAAATCACCAATTTACATAAAAGCAAGGAACCACAGACCCAGATAGAAGTGTTGATTAATTCTGGAAATAACAATGAAGAAAAGTAACCATAATTTTTCATTTGAAGACCCTCCACACACACATGCAACTTTTTGAATTTCCTGTAGATTCGATGTCATATGAAGAAAACAAATTAGCCAAACATTACTTTCCTTAATTCAATTTGGAACAGCAGCAATACAACACAATCACCGAATTAGGTCAGCCGCCAGAAACAAAACATTTTCTAAACATCTATTGGCCACCCAGTACTTGAAATTCCACAAAATTAAACAGATTTGGTTTTAGGGGTTGGGTGGGACTTCTAGCTTTGTGTTTTGGAGGTGGGGATAGGGAGGGAGATGCTGGTTTTCCAGAGCAATGGGGGCAACAGGAAGATGATAGCAAAGGGAACTTTCATATTTACCACTCCAATTCACAAACAAGAAATAGAAGAAGGCACACTGGAACATAATAATTACCACAAATGGTGCTCTTAGACATACGAAAACATTCTTAATCCACAGACGATATGATCCTTTGACATAAAAGGCCGCTGTCCTCAAACTGCAAATAATCACAATTCACCTATCTCAGCCAACTATCAACACTCGGACCAACGGAAACCAACAAAAAACACCACACAAGGGAGAACCATTAAAATGGTACCATATTTGTGAAGAACTTCCAAATGAACAGGCAAAGCAGCAAACACAATTAAATCCCTGCAAAACAACAGACCAAGCAAAAAGGAACCAAGGAAGCAATCACTAATCCAAATGAACCAACATGAAGAGTAAGTTCAGAAAAAAGGAAAACTAATGTGTATGAGCAGGCTGCTGAAGCAAACGTCTCCTAGAAGGACACACCAAGCAGCCTAGATACTCTGGAAACTCAGACCATGCAACCTCACAAAGGAGAGGGCTACAAGAAATAGGAAAAAAAATATATAAGAGAAAGATATTGGCAAACACAGATGATGAACAAAGGAAAACCAGAGACTAATGCATACATTGTGTTGAATCACATCAGGTTTTTCTTGAGCTTTTATGTGTCATTTTTTGGAGAGAGCAAGAGAGAGCACAGTGGGGCTGAAAGCACACAACTTTTGCCAATGGGCTCTCACATACAAAGAAATAGAAACAATGTGAAGAACAAGGTTGGGTCACACTACAGATAACCAAAAACGAACAAGAAGTAACAAAATATATCGAGGAAACTTCTTACACAGCAAAAGAAAAGGGTGTAGCCTTTTTTTTCGTTTTGTTTTTGAAGTGAAAATTGTCAATGCATTTTCACAAAAGACGATATTGTAAACATATAACAAAACATGGAACACCATAAACTCGGATGAATGCCACGTAATCAAAGTACAGAGGGAGAGAAAAAAAAATAGCTGGGGCAGAGTCATCAACAATGTCGTGACAAGCAATAAAACCTCTTGAGCAAGACACCATTCAAGAGTCACAGCATGATTGCAACGAATATGTGAGAGACAGAAACAGTCTAACATAGAAATAACCCAAGACAGTGAATCCTCAAAAAGCAATTAGTCAATCAACACTTCACATCATGTTAGTCTTGTTACAGCGAACAACCCAAAAAATCTAACTCAACAACTAAATGGTTTTGGAAACAATAGAAACACCAAGGATATCTAATAGCAGAAATCCACATGCTCCTAACCCTCCCAAGTTCAACACTGTCCTCCCAAGAAAATATATATGATTTCAGCCGACAAAGAAATTAGATAACCAAGAAACGAAAAAAGAAACCACAACCCAACAGAATCCCAGGCATTCATTGTTGGCAGTCTTCTATTGTACTCCCCTGGTTTACGAAGACTGCCAATAACAAATAAAAGGCCCGTGTTATTATCCAAACAACCAAAAAATTCTAACTTAACAACTAAATGATCTTGGAAAAAGTAGAAACACCAAGGATAGCTAATAGCAGAAATCCACATGCTCCTAACCCTTCCAAGTTCAACAGTCCTCCCAAGAAAATATATACGATTTCAGCCCACAAAGAAATTAGATAACCAAGAAAAGAAAAAAGAAACCACAACCCAACAGAACCCCAGCATTCAATGTTGGCAGTCTTCTATTGTACTCCCCTGGTTTATGAAGACTGCCAATAACAAATAAAAGGCCCCTGTTATAATCCAAACAGTGCCTAAACACTACTCCACCACAACCAAACCATGTGAAAAGCAATTAAATCCCATTACCTTTCAAGCTTGTCTTAAGCGATACATGTACTCATCATACTTGCCATTTTTGGACTGCACAGAAAAAACTAATAGAAATGAATAACCTCTAAAATATATCAAGGGGGGAAGTATCAAAATTATGGGCAGGCATAAAGTAGCAAACAAGAACAGAGGATGCAACAGGTCTACAAATGTACACTTAGCAGCAGGTAACATGCCGTACACAAACAAAAATACAAAAAATGGCTTTTGCCAAACACGAAGAAACTTGCAGAGCGATGTCAAAAGATTCATAAGATGAACATGGGTGTGTTCACATAAGAAAGGCAGAGAGGACCAGCTGCNAAAGTATCAAAATTATGGGCAGGCATAAAGTAGCAAACACGAACAGAGGATGCAACAGGTCTACAAATGTACACTTAGCAGCAGGTAACATGCCGTACACAAACAAAAATACAAAAAATAGCTTTTGCCAAACACGAAGAAACTTGCAGAGCGATGTCAAACGATTCATAAGATGAACATGGGTGTGTTCACATAAGAAAGGCAGAGAGGACCAGCTGCTCCAACAACTTTTACTTGCAACACGCGGGGTAAGTTCTAAAGCAGTTAGGACAACGGCCACATACCAGCAGTCAAGAAGGGACTATAATGGCATAACATGTCTAACTTTCAAGAGCAGCATCACAAAACTTAAAAACAACCGGAAACATCCTTGCAGCCCGGGTTCATAAAAAAAAGATCAGTGTGCCAAAAAAAATGATTTTGTGAGAAGCAATAGCTGAAAACATGACTGCAAAGTAATGCATCAATCCAAACCGGTCTAAACACTAGAAACAACCCAACGGCTCCCAAAAAATGACATANCGTGACAAGCAATAAAACCTCTTGAGCAAGACACCATTCAAGAGTCACAGCATGATTGCAACGAATATGTGAGAGACAGAAACAGTCTAACATAGAAATAAACCAAGACAGTGAATCCTCAAAAAGCAATTAGTCAATCAACACTTCACATCATGTTAGNGTAGAATCACCATAATGAGCAACCTCAGATCACCAATGAAGATAACACTGCACCAGAAGGAACTCCATTTGCTAAAGTTTAGTATCTAGCAAGAGAGTGAAAAAAAAAAAGAGAGAAGGAAATAGGGAGGCAAGAAGAAATAGAGCAGAGGGTATAGGATGTTCATACAAAAGATGAGGCCTCTAATGATTGGGGACATCTTCAGTCCAAAACTACCAACGCCAACTGAACAACAGCACCCCAAAGAAAACCAAACAAGATACCACCTCACACAGGATACATGAAGAATATGCCACTTCTGGTTCACTCATGAGGCCCGAAAGATGTAAAATAACTCATTTGCTTTTAGCGCGCTGCAAAGAGAGAGAAGATCCACGACAACATCACACAAGAAAAAAGAAAGAAACAAGAACAGAAAAAAGACGTCACAAATCGCAAACAACTTTTTTTTATCAGTCTTTAATTGTTCTGGTAGGGGACTAAGAAAGACTTGAAAAAGCTAATGGGGTGTAGATTTTCAACAAACTGAACAACAGCACGAACATAAGAAAACCAACAAAGTACTCTAAAAAAAAAAAAAGTATAAGAATTGTACCATTCCCAAGACACAGCCCAAGTATATAACTGAACCTGCCACTGGTGCACCAATATTGTCTTGCATTTTTATCAACTGTACAATAACCAGATACACTAAAAACAACACACCATGCAGATGAGAAATGGAATATAAATCAGCATTCAGGAAAATCCAGCGCTAGCTAAAATGGGAAGACATTTAAAGTGGCCATATCAGGTGCAATCTATAGCAGCTGATCCAGAAACATTGCCTTACCGAACTTCCCTACAACAGGAAAAGGGAACAGATAAAACAACAGTGGGAAATATTTTTGAATATTTTCAATCTAAATACAAAATGTAACCATATCCAAATGGAAACCACTGACACATTCATATGCAATGTGATCACTCTTGAATCCAAGGTATAAGAGGAAAGTTATGACACTTTTGGTACACTGACAACCATAGCAGTTGAATCACGGGTATAAGAGAAGAGAAATATCATAACCCTTCAGGTGCACTAGAATCAAGCCAAAGGCTCATTGAGTTACAAAATGGGCCAACCTGATTGCAAAACTAGTAGTTTTACTCTTTAAGTGGCAATAAGAAAACCTTTCCAGAGACCACCTTGAAGGGTCAACTAGAAGTCTGAATTAAGCATCAAATCTACAACTTTGCTTCACTTGCACCGGGTCAATTGCTTACAGGCAAGTTTTTCTATTTCAAAAACTCATTAGGCTGATCCAAAGAGTTTTCCTCTTTCAGAAACTCATTAAGCACCAACCGAGCATTATCTATCCTTCCTCATTCTCATCAACCACCTAGCTCAGCATTGCTGACTCAAGTGAAAAGTGTTGAAAGAGTTTCGAGGAAACAAAGTGTTAAGATGACATAATGATCAATTGATATCCCTCGTAAATGCTGCTGCAGATACTACCATATAATGATCAATTCCAAATCTTAGTGCTGGAGATTAGAGGATACTTCCACCTGTTGAACCTTTTAACTGTTCTCAGGAGAAGGTATCCACGAGGCATATTTCAGAAGTTATCAATAAATCTAGCTTGTCATTGAGTCATTCATTCAATGCAAGAAAGCTTGCTACAGAAGTCCATGCACCATTACTCTACTCTATCAATTCTCTTCTTGCTGCATTCTGTGGGACCAAAACAGGATTGATTTAATGTACTATTACACAATAAAGGTATTACACAATAAAGGTATATTATATCAACATCAGTGGTAGTTTATCCTAAATACAGCCAAAACATCACATAATCATTCTTATTGCCAACAAAATTTAAAGTGAACATATATGCGTAATATGACCTCAAGGTACAAATATTGTTTAAAGAAAGAAGAAAAAAAACACTAGAGCTCCTACCATAACAATGATAATGCACCCATAGCAATTTCTATTTTTTTACTTTTCCTTATTCTTATTGATATCTTTCATTTTTTTTTTCCTCTTAGCTCTTTTCCTGCCTAGTTTCAAACCCAATATACACTTAAATTGTAATGGAACTTCTATCACCAGTGGGGCCTCCCATTCAAACACGTCACTCATCGACTCGAAACCAACAACGTTCATTTTAATCATTAAATTCTTACTTTCTTCTACATCTTTTCCTGTGAAAGGAAAAGCACAAAATACAATATCAAGTAGAATTTAGGATAAGATGAAGATTAGTGAAAATATAAGCGAACCAAAGGGAATGTAAGATTTGGGATCCAGACACATCTTGCTCATCTTAAAATTAAATTGGAAGTAGCACAGTATACACTTCAATGTGCAAAATAACACAGCATGAGCCATCGACTTAGCAGGCAGTGAATGGTGTCTGTGTACTAGGGACCAGAAATGTTTTACCAATACAACGTGCCAAACTTGGCCAAGAAATCCTTCATTTAACCTTCTTTTTTTTTCCCTTACAGGAAAACTATAACCTCAATATCTATCAAAAAAATTGCACGATGTGATAACTAGTAAGGTGCTCCATGGTGTTGACAAAAAGGGCCAAGATGACATCAAGGAAAAATAAAAGCATCAATAAATGATTAGGTGAATACTAGATAAAGTGAGTGTGAAGATTTGGAGTCAATGTCATGGTAGTAGTGTCGTGCATGTCATGCAGAAGTATCAACATCATATACTTGTTGGCCATACCACCTGTTTAGTAGTAATGGTGTTAAACTGACTGATAACTAAAATGCTACAATGATGTAAATTAATCTTCATGGGGTTTTCTAAGCTATGATAATCAAATGTTTATTAGGGTATCAAAGGGACCACCTAAAAGGAGTACAGATCTTCCACACACACACTTTCAAATAGAGCACAAGAACTTACCTTGTTGCCAAGAGCCCAGAACTGAGCACAGTGCTATAAAACCTCACACGGTGCGCAGCAACAGGAACCACATTCTAAAGCACCAAAAAACGTTTCCAACATTCTACCAGCAATGTCGTCACGCATGGATCAAGAAATTTCCCTGCTGCAGCACCCAAGAACCACAAACCACAAAAAATTACAAAGAAATGGCGTTCTCAAGCTCGTGAAGTTAATTCATCATGTGCAACAATTCCAGCTATGACACAGGAGCAAAAAACCTTAGGAAAGAATGAAAATGCTGTGACCTTCACTGGGTAAACTTGGTAAACCCAATAAGAAAACCATCCAAAACTGAAACAAGCCAACCCGAACACTCAAAAGTCAATCCTCTAAATGCCATTGGAAAAATCACCATGTTGGAATAATCTACATCAACAAAAATCTATGGAGAAGCAACAGAAAAGCAAAGATACAATATTTCCAATTTTACCAAAATTAGTCATAAATAAGTAGGGATACCTAACAGATTCCTCTCCAATGGACCACACATGAATCGTAGGAATAAGAACATTAGCCGACACTTCTAATACACCAAATAACAACCATGGAAAAACAAAACAAAAAAATTATTCATAGTAGCAAAAGCAAACCAATCAGTTGTAATTCACTACAAGCAACAAAAAGAAAGAAGCCACAACAACACAATGAGAAAAAGGAAATAAATATAGACAAAAAAAACCTACTCAGAAAGGGTAAACATCCTTTTTTTACCATTCATATGTTGTGGAAAGGGTATCTCGCGGGATGACATTGGGAGTTGAAAGGGGGGATCCACTGCACGCATTGTATTACATGTCTTCAGCCTGACAGCAACCTCCACAGACAAATCAAGAACAGGGAAGTGACAGGATAACAAATTAGCTAATACACTGCTCCAAAGCATCCGCTTCCCCAACATTCCCACAATAGCAAAGGCAACAGAACCCGCACCTGTATATAATCTCCACTGTAGAATTCAAGCTACAAAGCTGAACAAAATCCCCATGATAGAAACAGAAAGATGTTGACATTTTCAATATAAGTACCACAAGTAGCTATGCTTAAATGGAAACCACCTGACAGATTCCAGCACAATAAAATAACACCTGAACCACAGGTATAAAAAAATGTGCAATAGGTTAAATAGTGTCATTAATAATACCAACAATGGCTTAAGCAATCGCTGACTCCAAGATCCAAATGGATTAGCTCAATCCAATTGCAGTGCCCAGCAGAAACACAGAATGGAGAACAACCACAACATCATCATGGGAAAGAAAAGAAGGAAATAGAAAAAACCGTGTCATAAAGGGTGAAACTCTATTTCCTTCTGTCCTATTTAAGTTGTGAACAGAGGTCACATCTACTAGCCCACTTATCGTCCAACACAAAACACAAAAATTAAGAACTGGCCAAAGATAGCCAATCGACCAATATCTAGGAAAAAGCCAGGAAAGGACAGAAAAGTAGACCTGCACACCAGTTGAATAGGCATCAGCTCCCCCAAAAGCAAAGCCTTCCCCCAACATTCAAATAATAAGGATGGGAGCAAACACACACTTACAACAATGCTGAATTCTTTCTCTCCAAGTACAAGAGTAACAACTACGAAAAGGGAACACCTGAGCTGTTGAACAAGATCTATAATATAGAAATATGGCACTTCTGGTACATTAAATAGAACAAATGGAAAAATAAGTCCTCAAAAATAATATCTATAATAGCAAAAAGCAAACCAACCGAACAATCCAAAAATTCCCAACAGATTTATCAGTAACTAAACCTAAAATTGTAGAACTTCTAGGTGCAAAAAACCAAAATAAAAAAGAGCCACACGAACACTATGCAACCGAAAAAGAATGACGTGGACAGGGCATTTGGAAATGTCGCAAGGGGAAATAAACACCAAATTTGTCTCCCCATGCCTATTCTATGCTATTCTAGTATAACAATAGATAGGGAAAACAGCAAGGTAACCCCTGTAGAACAACAAACATACATGCACAACATGAATATAAATGCACTGCCATAAAATAAACTGATATTAGAAAAAGGAACAAAGTACCAAAAGCTTNCAGGTATAAAAAAATGTGCAATAGGTTAAATAGTGTCATTAATAATACCAACAATGGCTTAAGCAATCGCTGACTCCAAGATCCAAATGGATTAGCTCAATCCAATTGCAGTGCCCAGCAGAAACACAGAATGGAGAACAACCACAACATCATCATGGGAAAGAAAAGAAGGAAATAGAAAAAACCGTGTCATAAAGGGTGAAACTCTATTTCCTTCTGTCCTATTTAAGTTGTGAACAGAGGTCACATCTACTAGCCCACTTATCGTCCAACACAAAACACAAAAATTAAGAACTGGCCAAAGATAGCCAATCGACCAATATCTAGGAAAAAGCCAGGAAAGGACAGAAAAGTAGACCTGCACACCAGTTGAATAGGCATCAGCTCCCCCAAAAGCAAAGCCTTCCCCCAACATTCAAATAATAAGGATGGGAGCAAACACACACTTACAACAATGCTGAATTCTTTCTCTCCAAGTACAAGAGTAACAACTACGAAAAGGGAACACCTGAGCTGTTGAACAAGATCTATAATATAGAAATATGGCACTTCTGGTACATTAAATAGAACAAATGGAAAAATAAGTCCTCAAAAATAATATCTATAATAGCAAAAAGCAAACCAACCGAACAATCCAAAAATTCCCAACAGATTTATCAGTAACTAAACCTAAAATTGTAGAACTTCTAGGTGCAAAAAACCAAAATAAAAAAGAGCCACACGAACACTATGCAACCGAAAAAGAATGACGTGGACAGGGCATTTGGAAATGTCGCAAGGGGAAATAAACACCAAATTTGTCTCCCCATGCCTATTCTATGCTATTCTAGTATAACAATAGATAGGGAAAACAGCAAGGTAACCCCTGTAGAACAACAAACATACATGCACAACATGAATATCAATGCACTGCCATAAAATAAACTGATATTAGAAAAAGGAACAAAGTACCAAAAGCTTGCAGTAAACAGCCAATCCAGCCATACTTTCAGTTCCTCTTCTACAAAGGGAAACAACTATATTCTTAGCCAGCTCCAACTCACTTCTCCTAATATGAGGTGGGTTATTTAGAATATAAGTTCGCCAAATACAACTACAATAATACAGGTATAATAGTAACAACATTAGAAGATGAGAAGAAACAAGGTCCTGCAGCTGAACCTGTGAAGGAATTGCCATATATGTATTTGCTGTTTTAGCTTTGGTATTAACAAGATATGGTCCATCAATTCTGCAAGCAACACACACAAGGTGTGATGCACAACAAGAACAACTAAACAACCACCAAACCAAACCAGAGATTTTTTCTTAGGAAATGGACATGGCCTCAGACATAACCAAACTGGAGAATTTGCACACCCTTCGAACATCTATCATTGTACTACGCGTTTTGGACTGCAGACATCACAGAAGCTAATACCAAGTAGACGTGTTGGCCTAACACCGGTGTTACAACTGACCTAATTGAAAAAAAAAAATTATAGTCATACTAATTAAAATAGAAAAAACAAACAACCAAGAGGAGGAGAATAAATAAAGCACCCGCGGCAGAATCCATTAAAGATTAGCATTTATGTACTTGCCCTTTGTCTNCTTGTACTACGCGTTTTGGACTGCAGACATCACAGAAGCTAATACCAAGTAGACGTGTTGGCCTAACACCAGTGTTACAACTGACCTAATTGAAAAAAAAAATTATAGTCATACTAATTAAAATAGAAAAAACAAACAACCAAGAGGAGGAGAATAAATAAAGCACCCGCGGCAGAATCCATTAAAGATTAGCATTTATGTACTTGCCCTTTGTCTTTCCTTTCCCCTAGCCATGGTACACCAATTCTGCAAAGAACAGACTTAAGTACTATAAATTCTGCAAGGAACAAACAAGGTGTTATTCATGATGCACAACAAGAACTACTACCAATCAACGGACAAAAAAGACCAAACCGGAAAAAACTCTTACCATAGATGGACACAGTCTCAGGTATAACCAGGCCACAGTATTTGCACACCTTCTCGTCTCTGGGATTTGGACTGCACACAAGAAGAAGCTTATACCCAGAAGGACAACGGAAAAATAAAATAAAGGCAGAAGAAGCAACAGATCAAATATAAGGAAAGGAAAGACCAACAGAATCCCATTGATTGGTTATGGATCACTGCAAGTGGACTACCCCTATAATTTATCTAAAATCAACTAATACACATGAACTGGCTAAACACCATAGAATTACCAAGAATCAAGACACCAAAATTGACCACCTGGAGTCATGAAAAATAACCCAAGAATCAGACAATACAATCTCCAAAAAATCCCGATCATCTTCTTTGAATAGTAGTGTAACACAGGTTTCAACAGAAAATCCAATCCGTTAATAAACGTCATAAGAAGAAAATAAGTGGAGTCTCAAAGAATAAAATTCAAAGATTAATCAACCTAGCATGCGATTCTGCAACGCATAATATCATGGGCACCAACAACTTTCATTATATATAACACAAAACTAGATTTTAGCAAATTAACCAAAAAGTTACTTTATCTTACAATTCCTTGCCTGCCTTACACAATATATCCTACGCGAAGCCAAGNTCGAATTAGGGCATCAACAACTTTCATTATATATAACACAAAACTAGATTTTAGAAAATTAACCAAAAAGTTACTTTATCTTACAATTCCTTGCCTGCCTTACACAATATATNGGCACCAACAACTTTCATTATATATAACACAAAACTAGATTTTAGCAAATTAACCAAAAAGTTACTTTATCTTACAATTCCTTGCCTGCCTTACACAATATATCCTACGCGAAGCCAAGCTATTCGAAGAAAACATCACAGCCATATTGAACGATTGCAAAATAAATCCAAAAGCAACATAAAAATAGCAAAAAGGCAATCACAAGGCCAACAGAGAGCCTCTGAACGCCACCAAACCCTAGACTTCAAAGAACATACAGAGAACCATTAAAAGTAACATAAAGATCGGGAATACACTTCAAAAGACTCCACAGAGAACCATTAAAAGTAACATAAAGATAGGTAAAAGACAATCACAACGCCAATGGAGCCACTGAACATTGTTTTGGACTGCAGACAACACAGAAGTTAACACCAAGGAGAAGAGTTGGCTGAACACCAGTATTACAACTGAACTAACTGAAAAAACACATTATAATCATACTAGTTATAATAGAAAAAACACAACCAAGAGGAGGAGAATAAATAAAGCACCCACAGCAGACAAGGTTAAAGATTACCATCTATGTACTTGCCCTTTGTCTTTCCTTTCCCCTAGCCATGGCCCACCAATTCTACAAAGAACAGACTTAAGTACTATAAATTCTGCAAAGAACAGACATAAGGTGTTATTCATGATGCACAACAAGAACTACTACCAAATCTCATTCATTTAAGAACTGAAAAAGCAGAACGAGAATTAGAAGGAAGAAATATTTTGTCGGTCATAGAGTTTTAAGGAGCTTGGAATGCCAACATGAGTCTCTCTTCTAAGAACAGGAAAACTCTATCATGGCATTATGGATCCTCAATTCATTGCTTATCATCAGGTATGTCTTGGTGACGTCTCTCTTGTATGAACGCGAAAACTCTATCATGGCATTGTAGATCCTCAATTCATTGCTCATCATCAAGTATGTCTTGGTGAAATCTCTTACTATAGACCAAACCAGAGAAATCTCTTACCATAGATGGACACAGTCTCGGCATAACCAAACCACAGTATTTGCACACTTTCTCATACTTGGGAATTTTTTGGACTGCACACGACATGAAGAAGGACAACAGAAAAAAAAGCCAGAAGAAAACAGCAACATTCCCTTGCATTTGTTCAGCCTCACAACTACTAGATCACTTATAGTTCAACACACAACAAAAAAATTAAGAACTGGCAGAAGAGCTGGTAAAAGAGAATGGCCAGAACCTGTGCACAACTTGAATCTGCATCAGCTCCTCCAAAGGAATAGCCTTCCCCCAACATTCCAAAAATAAGGATGGGAGCAGACACTCGCTTGCAACAATGCTGAACAACATGCACAACCAAAAAAGGAAGAGTTTGTATTCTTCCCCTCCACTCCAAGTACAAGAGTAACAACTAATAAAAGGGAACACCAGAGCCGTTGAACAGCACCTATAATATAGAAATATGGCACTTCTGGTACACCAAATAAAATAAATGGAAAAATAAATCCTCAAAAATCATATTCATAATAGCAAAGGTAAACCAACCCAACAATCTGAAGCTTCCCAACACATCTTATCAATAACTCAACCTAACTGTAGAACCTCAAGCTGCAAACAACCAAAATAGAGAAGAGCNTAACTGTAGAACCCAAGCTGCAAACAACCAAAATAGAGAAGAGCCACACCAACACTATGCAACCGAGAAANCAACTGTAGAACCTCAAGCTGCAAACAACCAAAATAGAGAAGAGCCACACCAACACTATGCAACCGAGAAAGAATGATGCGGACGGGTATTTGGAGGTGTCGCAGGGGGAATAAACACCTAATTTGGCAACTCATGCCTATTCTTTGTTATTTTGGTATAACAATAGATAAGGAAAGCAGCAAGGGAACCCCTGTGGATCAACAAAAATACATACACAACATCCATATAAATGCACTGCCATAAAAAAAACTGAAACTAGAAAAAGGAACAAACTACCAAAAAGCTCGCAGCAAAACAGCCAATCCAGCAAAACTTTCATGTACTCTTCTACAAAGGGGAACAACTATACTCTCAGCCAGCTCCAACTCACTTCTAATATGAGGTGGATTAGTTAGAAAATAAGTTCACCAATTATAAGTACAATACGGGAATAATAGTGACGAAGAAGATGAGAATAAATAAGGTCCTGCAGGCTGCAGCAGAACCTGTGAAGGAATTGCCATATACGTGTTTGCTGTTTTATCTTTGGTATTAACAAAACATGGTCCATCAATTCTGCAAGCAACACACATATCGTGCGACGCACAACAAGTAATACTACCCAACCACCAAACCAAACCAGAGATTTTTCCTTAGGAAATGGACACAGCCTCAGACAGAACCAAACTGGAGAATTTGCACACCCTTCGAACATCTATCCTTGTATTGGACTGCAGACAACACAGAAGTTAATGCCAAGGAGAACACCAGTATTACAACTGAACTAACTGGAAAAAAAATTATAATCATACTAATTATAATAGAAAAAACAAAACAACCAAGAGGAGGAGAATGAATAAAGCATACGCAGCAGAATCGGTTAAAGATTACCATCTATGTATTTGCCCTTTGTCTTTCCTTTCCCCTAGCCATGGTCCACCAATTCTGCAAAGAACAGACTTAAGTACTATAAATTCTGCAAGGAACAAACATAAGGTGTTATACATGATGCACAACGAGAACTACTGCCAAACAACAAGGAAAAAAAAAAAACCACACCAGAGAAATCTCTTACCATAGATGGACACAGTCTCGGCATAACCAAACCACAGTATTTGCACACCTTATACTCGGGGATTTGGGCTGCACACGACAAGAAGAAGGACAACAGAAAAAAAAAAAAAATAGACAGAAGAAAGCAACAGACCATATATAAGGAAAGACCGACAGAATCCCATTGATTGCTTATGAATCACTGTAAGTGGACTCCCCTATCATTTATCTAAATCCAAATAATACACATGAACTAGCTAAACAACATAGAATTACCAAGAATCAAGGCGCCAAAACTGATCACCTGGAATCATGAACCATAAACCAAAAATTAGACAATACAAACTCCAAAAAATCCCGATCATGTGCCTTGAATAGTAGTGTAACAGAGGATTCAATCAACCTAGCAAGCGATTCTGTGACGCATAATATCATGTAAGTCAACCTTATCGTACAAATCCTTGCCGTACTTTAAAACATTCATCATCCAACGCTTAATTCCTACCATAAAACCAGCAACGATAAGCAAACTAAGAAGCGACAGTAATATATCCAACAAGAAGCTAATGCATTCGAAAAAATCTTCACGTCCATATTGAACGATTGCAAAATAAATCCAAAAGCAACATCAAAATACCGACAACGCAATCACAACGCCAACGGAGCCACCGAACGCCACCAAACCCTAGACTTCAAAAGACTCTGCAAAGAACCATTAAAAAAGACATAAAGATAGGTAAAAGACTTCCTAAGACTCCACCGAAACCCTAGACTCTACCAGAGAGTTCGAACCAACTCCTACCACCACGAAGACTCACAAAAAAACCAGAACCGAACGAGAACACGGATTTTAGAAGATGGACGCTATTTATAGACAAGGTCGGCGTAGGCAAAGTCGGTTAACACGTTTCCTAATTCATTTTCCGGATAAAAAATTATTTTTGGAAAAAATAAAAACCGTCGGTTGTTGACATTAGACTGACTGAGCCACATGACATCAACCAGCAACGTACCAGTCAATAGGGGCGGGTAGTAGGGTTTTTGTTATTTGGTCTGTGTGGTGGGCTTTATTTACTGTCTAACCCAAAAAAAATAAACGGCCTCACTAAATCCGAACATATAAGATGCCACATTACCAGGGGTAAAAGCCCATTGACTTGAATAAAATTACATCGAAGTCCACGTAATTCTGTTTTTTTAAATTATCTTGTTCTCATCTCTAATGCATAACCCTGTTATGGCTAATCCCCTATGCCGTCTATTTTTTATCGCATAATGCAGACATTATTTTCAACTTGGAGACAAATGAGCATTCAACTAAAGGTGATACTATATATCTCGACACAATACGAATANCTATGCCGTCTATTTTTTATCGCATAATGCAGACATTATTTTCAACTTTGAGACAAATGAGCATTCAACTAAAGGTGATACTATATATCTCGACACAATACGAATATAATATAAATATAATGAATTAAAATTGACCAATACTTATATTAAACATAACAAAAATTAGTGACAAAAATAATAACTGGGCAATATCAATCACGAGCGAGCAAAATGTTACCTGAGAAATCTTTTTTAACTAATATAAGATTGTGTTTGGTTTAAATTAAAAATGATCGGATTGGATAAACTTATTCATACCACGCCCATCCAGCTAGAGAAAAAAATACAAATTTAAAATTCATTCCTCTTATCCTTTGTTTGATTCAAGTATTAAAAAATTGTGAATGCACCCTTATTCCATATAATACTTTATTTGGATGGAGTATTGAATGACGATATAAGTATNATTTGTTTGATTCAAATATTAAAAAATTGTGAATGTACCCTTATTCCATATAATACTTTATTTGGATGGAGTATTGAATGACGATATAAGTATTAAAATTACCAAAAACCCCAACTTAGTCCAATCTATACACATGTTTAGTATTTATATTTGGGTTTGCCATGGATAAAAATATACTTTACCCAAACTGAGGGTTTTTCAAATGAACTTTTGAATTTATGGGGGCAACATTTCTTTAAAGTTTTGAATCTATAAACTTTTGCTCAAAATTCATGAGGGAATTGCCCCCAACCCTTTACTTGTAGCTCCGCCACTGGAAGCATTCGTTCTNGCCATGGATAAAAATATACTTTACCCAAACTGAGGATTTTTCAAATGAACTTTTGAATTTATGGGGGCAACATTTCTTTAAAGTTTTGAATCTATAGACTTTTGCTCAAAATTCAGTGAGGGAATTGCCCCCAACCCTTTACTTGTAGCTCCGCCACTGGAAGCATTCGTTCTTTGAAAGGACCAACGTGCCCTCTTCGTCCGATCATTCTATTGGCTGACCAAAGGTAATGCTATTTTCTTTCTTTTTCCCTTTGTATTCAATCAAGAATAATTACACAAGATGATCTACTCGCAATGCAACCTCACCCTAGAGAAAGCCCACAAAACAGGTCACTAATCAATTTGATTAAAGAAAAAGAGCCATAGATAGCACGAGAAATTCACCAATTAGTCACTAACACAAAGCCGATAGAAGGCTCCTANATTTTCTTTCTTTTTCCCTTTGTATTCAATCAAGAATAATTACACAAGATGATCTACCCGCAATGCAACCTCACCCTAGAGCAAGCCCACAAAACAGGTCACTAATCAATTTGATTAAAGAAAAAGAGCCATTGATAGCACGAGAAATTCACCAATTAGTCACTAACACAAAGCCGATAGAAGGCTCCTAAAAACAAATTATTTTTATTTTTCATATCGTCCTCAAAACAAATTAAAGAAGCCAAAGATTACTCCTTTCGAATCATTCTATCCAACATTTACTGCAAAAGCCAATCTCGTTCAACTGGTCCACCATTACCTGCTAAAAAAGCATCGCAACATCCAAAAAACAATGGTCCATAAAACGGTTTTGAAAGGTATTTTCTTGAAGAAATAAAGACAAATCCAAACAACATGTGACCATCTAATCAAACCAAAACCTCTAACAACGCATCAAAACACGTAATTTCTGATTCCTTTAGCACCACCTTGGGCAATCAATAGGAAAAAACACCAAATAAAATCCCACTTTTTACAATTCAGGATACTGAACTCATATTTCTCACTGAATTAGGTGGCCTACCCACAACAGTTGGGTATCACTCACCACACATTCAACACTTACCAATAACTATTCTTGGTGAATGTTTTTAAGTGTTTCAGTTATGGGTTTGTGGATGACAAAGTTGGCTTCAAGTTTCATGGCAAAAATAAGTGTTGCCATTGCAGACTGCCTTAATTTGCACCTGTTTGTGAAATTAGAAAACACTAGAGGACGAGCAAATAGGACCAGCCTACAACCAACGCTTTCCCTGAGCTACATCCAAAAAAAGAGTTCCCACACACCCATAACAAGAGAGGAGAGGGACTCTCCAAATACCTTATTCTTTTGGCATTCATGTTTCAATTACTCGTCACAGTCCATAGTTGATGCAGATGACAAACAACACAAGAAAGCTTGCACATAGACACTTTCGCACACAGATTACAAGTTGTCAATAGTCCGCAACAGAGCAAAGTACTTCTAATACACACAAATAGAGTACGACAACAAGAACCACTTCTATAACCAAAACAGAACCAACAAGCATTTCCAACATCCACCAAAAACCTTGAAGAACAAAAAAATACCACAAAAATGTGCACTCAGCCAAGTGAAGTTAATTAATCATGAACAACAACTCTTAGTCACAATGGAAGAGCAAGGAACCTTCAGAAATAATTAAAATTTTGTTATGTGAACATGACAACAAAATTTGAAGACCCCCACACCAAAAAACCCAGAGACTAAAACCAGTCAACCCACCTAAATGCCTAAGAAAAAATTTCAATGCTTGAATAATCTACAAAATCACCAATTTACACAGAAGCGAGGAACCTTAGACCCAAATAGCAATGTTGATTAATTCTGAAAATAACAATGAAGAAAAGATAACCATAATTTTTCATTTGAAGACCTCTGCCCCCAGATGCAACTTTTTGAATTTCCTGTTGATTCGATGCCATATCAAGAAAGCAAATTAGCCAAACATTACCTTAATATATGAAACAGCAACAGTACAACACAACCACCAAATTAGGTCAGCCGCCAGAAATATTATTTCCTAAACGTCTTTGGCCACCCAGTTTTTGAAATTCCACAAAATTAGACAGATTCGATTTTGAGGGGTTACGTGGGATTTGTAGTTGTGTGTTTAACAGGAAGACGATAGCAAAAAGAACTTTCACATTTACTATTTTAATAAAGAATCAAGCAATAGAAAAAGGTGCACTGGAACATAATAATTAGCACAAATGGTGCTCAAAGCGCTAATAAAAGATCCCTGTCCTCAAACCGTTAATAATCACAATTCACCAATCTCAACCAAATATCAACACTCGGACATAAGGAACCAACATAACACACCATACAAGGGAGAACCATTAATATGATAACATATATGTGACAAGAACTGCCAAATGAACTGGCAGCAACAAACAAAATTAAATCCCTCCAAAACTACAGACCAAGCAAAAAGGAACCAATGACACAATCACTAATCTAAATGAAGAAACGGTAAAAGTAAGTTCAANACAACAGAGCAAAGTACTTCTAATACACACAAATAGAGTACGACAACAAGAACCACTTCTATAACCAAAACAGAACCAGCAAGCATTTCCAACATCCACCAAAAACCTTGAAGAACAAAAAAATACCACAAAAATGTGAACTCAGCCAAGTGAAGTTAATTAATCATGAACAACAACTCTTAGTCACAATGGAAGAGCAAGGAACCTTCAGAAATAATTAAAATTTTGTTATGTGAACATGACAACAAAATTTGAAGACCCCCACACCAAAAAACCCAGAGACTAAAACCAGTCAACCCACCTAAATGCCTAAGAAAAAATTTCAATGCTTGAATAATCTACAAAATCACCAATTTACACAGAAGCGAGGAACCTTAGACCCAAATAGCAATGTTGATTAATTCTGAAAATAACAATGAAGAAAAGATAACCATAATTTTTCATTTGAAGACCTCTGCCCCCAGATGCAACTTTTTGAATTTCCTGTTGATTCGATGCCATATCAAGAAAGCAAATTAGCCAAACATTACCTTAATATATGAAACAGCAACAGTACAACACAACCACCAAATTAGGTCAGCCGCCAGAAATATTATTTCCTAAACGTCTTTGGCCACCCAGTTTTTGAAATTCCACAAAATTAGACAGATTCGATTTTGAGGGGTTACGTGGGATTTGTAGTTGTGTGTTTAACAGGAAGACGATAGCAAAAAGAACTTTCACATTTACTATTTTAATAAAGAATCAAGCAATAGAAAAAGGTGCACTGGAACATAATAATTAGCACAAATGGTGCTCAAAGCGCTAATAAAAGATCCCTGTCCTCAAACCGTTAATAATCACAATTCACCAATCTCAACCAAATATCAACACTCGGACATAAGGAACCAACATAACACACCATACAAGGGAGAACCATTAATATGATAACATATATGTGACAAGAACTGCCAAATGAACTGGCAGCAACAAACAAAATTAAATCCCTCCAAAACTACAAACCAAGCAAAAAGGAACCAATGACACAATCACTAATCTAAATGAAGAAACGGTAAAAGTAAGTTCAAAAAAAGGAAAACCAATATGTACGAGCTAGTTGTTGAACCAAACGCGTCCTATGACAAACCGAGCAACTTATATACCTCTTGAAACGGGGGACCATGAAACCTTGCAAAGGAGAAGGCTACAAGAAAAAGGAAAAAAATATAAGAGAAAGATAATCGAAAACTCAGATGATGAACAAAGGAAGACCAAAAACTAATGCATACACTGAGTTGAATCACATCGTTTTTTTTTTTTTGGGCTTTCGTGAGTCTTTTTTTGGAGAGAGGGAGAGAAAGAGCAGTTCACATACAAAGAAATAAAAACAATGCGAAGACCAAGGTTGTGCCTCATTACAAATAACCGAAAAAAAAGAGCAACAAGTAAGAAATATATCAAGAAACTTGCAAACTTACACGGTGAAAGAAAAGGGTGTAGCCTTTTTTTGTATTGTTTCTTTTCCTTTTCTAGGGTGGATACAA